CAACTAAATGGCCGAAATTGTTGGATGTTAAAACTGAGGCCACGGCTGATGTTAGTGAGTTATCCTCTACATGGACTGGGAGAGACCGTTATTCTAAAGAAAGACATTAGTGTCACACATCGCTGACACGGTCGACTCGCTATTGTCCTGAGGTGACTGGAGATGGCGGTCGCGAATTAGCCCCCGACCTGACATGGGAGGTAAAATCGGGAGAAACGTAAACAGATACCCCTATTGTTTGCGGACCGTTGAAGACGTTTTTTTTTTAGTGAGCAGGCGGGGGTGCCTGTAGTAAACAGTCAGTGACCTGATGATGGCTTGCAGAGGTGGGGGGGAAGAGAGAGAGCGGATGGGGGCATGCCCCTTCCCGGGAAAAAAAATGCAAATTTTCGATTTGCACCCCCCCCCTCAAACTTTCAAAATTTGCACCCCCCTCCTCAAACTTTCGATTTGCACCCCGCTCAAGTTTTCGATTTGCACCCCGCTCAAGTTTTCGATTTGCACCCCCCCCCCCTCAAACTTTCGATTTGCACCCCCTCAAGTTTTTCTCTATATATTTTGCTATTTTTTGCCTTGGTGTCACCCCCCCCCCCCCCCCCTAAATGGACCTTCTCTTGTGAGAACGCGGTCTTAATCTGTAATGTAATACGCGGACGCTCTATAAACACGCACCTTCTCTTGAATTGCTACGGTCAGAGATCCAGTAACGTAGTACCCGAACTGATTTTTTTAGGGTCTGGCATCCCATAGATTTAAATGTACAGTTTAATATCCTTCACCTCACCCCCACCAACTGTCACCCCCCCCCCCCCCCCCCCCAGTGTTCCACCTTACTGAGCGTCCGTGATTACATTTGAGAGTCATTTCATTTGGATATATATAGCCGTAAACAGTGTTTTTCACGATTCGAGCTTATTCCGAAATCTATCAATGTTTTGCTATTTTCCCCGGCATCCACACACTTTGAATGCCACTGTTAACACTCGATAAATTGAGAAAATATCGATACTATCACCCGCCACTGTGGACCGATTTAACGTTGCTTCAAAGTGATTTCACAATTTTTCTTTACACCATGGCTACAAGAGACAGAGATAGATTTCGCAAGTATGAATCAGGTGCATCAAAAGCGAGGAAACGCAATTTAAGAGAAGAATTTGATAAAACACAAGCAGGCGCGTTGGACAAGTACATACACTATCCAAAGAAAGTTATTAAACAACAAAAACATTTCTCCAAACTGAAGTTGATCAAGAACTATTTGAGATCAACGATGTCCCAAGACAGACTCTGCGGTCTGTCAATTCTGTCAATAGAAAAAGACATAGCCTCCAGTTTGGACTATGATGATATAATCATGGAATTTTCCTCACGAAAGGCAAGAAAAGTAGATCTTCGTTTGTGAACGTACTGGTAAGATTTTCATAAACATTAATGTAAAAAAATCAGGTTTGAAGCTGACGTTCATCGTCTCTTTAATGCGTGTATCAAACGTATATCTGTTTTATTTTTTACTTTTCAAACAAAAAGCCTTAACAGAAACAAGCAACGTTTCAAAAGCACTTCTAAGTAAACAAATTATTTGTTAATCAGTGTCTTAATGTTAAAACTAATATACGACATTGATAAACAGCTTAAAAATACCACATATATCGTTGTAAATATTAATTCGCGTTGAGAAGAAAAAAAAAACGCCTCACTGTACATGTTTTATTTAATTATACACCAATGAAAATAATATAAGGCCCCGCGCGGATGGTTGGCCATAGGCCCCGCGTACCCCTAGCGCCGGCTCTGGTTTTAAGAGATGCAAATCGAAAGTTGGGGGGGGGGGGGGGGGGGGGGGGGGGGGTGAAAGTCGAAAATTTAAAGTTTGTCCCCGGGAAGGGTCGCTATGCCTCTGGGGGGTGACACCATTAAGCAGAGTTTCTTCCAGGCATCTCTTCGAGGGGTCGAAGCCCCCCCGAAAAAATTTTACCGCCCCCCAGAACGAAATGAAATTTATATAATTAATATAGAAAATATATACTTTTATCAGTGTCCGCCCCCCCCCCCCCGAAGAAAGTTTACCGCCCCCCCCCCCCCCGAAGATTTCAAGTGCCCCCCCCCCCCCCCGGAGAAAAAAGTCTGGAAGAAACACTGCCATTAAGTGCCGCACCGGGTGACACGCGACCTCGCTAAGCCACTGATTTATTGTCTAACGATGGATTATGGATATACTTTACAATGAAATAGGTTAAATTACTAAATTAGGAAATGGTTTAAATAATAAATTAAAAATTTAGTGAGACATTCTACTAATATAAAGGCTTATATATATAGGCCCACATTCTGTTTATGTATATACATACATGAAATGAATCTTTAAAGGTATGATAACTCTTTCATCGAATATAACATTTGTGGATTTTTATTTGTTATCTACCGTGACTTGCCAGAGACTAAACTTAACTGGGCACAACACCAATGAACAACTCTCACGTGACGTTACAATATCAAAATGGCGATCCTACGTTACGAACGGTTGTTTACATTTACGATACTTGTTTTTAAATGTTTTATATTTATTCCTGATATTTGCTACGGAGCAATAAGTGAAGTACACAGTTTCCAAAGTAGTTTATTAAATGAGAGAAGCAGATCTGAAGTACTTTTTCCAAGCATTTTACGGAAAAAACGAAGTCCTGATGAAGGATTTAGGACCGAATCTGAGAAAAAAGACAGTAGCTGCCTTCTGCAACAAGTTAATTTTAGGGATACGATTAACAGTCTGAAGAATGGTGTACGTCTTGAAGAAACGGTATGTATCCGAGAAATATACACTTTTAATATTGAATTGCATATCTAGATATATGTGCCCATAATTAATAGCTACTGTTAAGTGACTTAAGTCAAAGTCACTGCCTAAGTCAAACTTACTAAACTAAGATAAAAGACTAACCAACTAGTAAAGACTCTTTAGTAAAGTGTATTAAATTAAGTCAGATTCTGCTTTCTTTTTATTTTAATCCTTTAATTAGAAGTTCATTTTATCAATTTATTCATGGTGGGCTAATGTCCTAACCTAAAATATTATGATGAAACTATTTTAGGGCTATCCAATGTCAGTAATCCATCATTTTAGATAAGTAAAATCTGCCGAAGCTAGTTTGGGAGACAACTTAAACTCAGACCTATTGTGCGCTATTAGTTTTTGTCTGGGTTGTATCTTAGTTTCTCTTTGTTATATCTCATAAACTTATCAACATATAGCTGTTTCATTTTTTTCACTGTAAAAAATGTCATCCTTTGGTTCAGTAGGCCTATAACATAGTTAATTAATCACAATGGAGAATATAATTCTATATGCAAGGCTTGACACAGACCCTAATTTTTCTGTTTGGTTTAACTTCAACTGGGTTGCTCTAACTTTGACCAGCGTCTTGTTCTAGCTTCGACCATAAGCCTATATAAATTATTGTTTTATTCACTAGGCAAAAGGCGTAACATTGTAAAAAGATGAGGGCATTACAATAAAACATGTGCAGACCTATATTAATTAATGTAGAAATGATATTAAGTAGGCTGGTAGAAAATAGCGCTGAAATAATGATAAATATATCAGCTTAGATTGTTGGGACTTTCAATAATTATGTTATCTTGCATTGTTTTCATCTAATGAAAAAAGAATGCCTCTGCTGATTAAACTTAACTACTAAATTAAGCTACAATAATACATGAAAAATTAATGCTTTATGGTGAAGTTTTTCAGTCTGTTAAAGTTAGAACTATGCCAATTTTAAGCAGTTTTAACTTCCACTGATTTTTTTTTACATTTTTATCAAAATGAAAAAATAAAAACACACACATTTAGTACAACCTATTTTATAAACACCAATATAGCTTTTTAAAATGTTAGTTTTATTTACTAATTTTATTTTGTGCATTATGATTATGAATATGTCACTCCTAAGGCTGCAAAAACTAAAACTCATGATTTTCACTTAATAAAATTCACTGATGAGTTGTGCCTTACATTTGCCGATCAAAAAGAGCAAAAATTATTATAGAGATTACCTTAAAAAAGAAAATTCCCCACAGTTCAAATGGGTAACTAAACTAATAATATAATTTATTTTGGCCAATGGCAATTTTTTTTTTTTTACCATACTAAGAAATCGGTCGAAGTAAGAACCCAATCGAAGCAATAGCAGGTAGTCTGCTGTAATTTGAAAGAAAAGTGACTCTTTAAGATCTGGTTATTAAATAAAACAAGCACCAATGGGCTTAATAATAAGTAGTTTTAAATCCTCAGGAGTCTTAACACATTTAACCAAGTTAACATGCTAAAAAGTAGTCTTTACTTTTAACTTAGTCTTTAGAAAGTTTAGTCTTGCCTAAATTGAACCTGATGTGGTTTGAGTTGATTCATTTTGGTCCTGGCAAAAGATTTACTTCTCTGCTTTTATCTTGTAAAATATGAATTAATCAATTAATTGGTTTCACATTTTCACTATCAAAATGTTTATCTGTAATAGTAATTAACCAAATTCTATGCTGAACCAGAGGCGTAGGGGGGGGGGGGGGGGGGGGGACGACGACGACACATGTCCCGGACGCCGACCATAGGGGGCGCCAAAATGGATTGGAAAAATAAATTGAAAGGTTGAGGGGGGTGCAAATCAAAAGTTTGAGATGGGGGGAGGGGGTGCAAATCGAAAGTTTGTCCCCGGGCGCCGGGAAGGGTCGCTACGCCTCTGTGTTGAACACAGAACAGTGACCAACATTTTTGATGTTTCGTTCAACTCAAACTAAGACCAAAATCTTGTTCTAATTTTATTATAATACGGTTTTATAATTAAAATGTGTAGCCGTATAATTGCATAGAAATGCTTCTTTTAATTTATATAAAACAATTATATAATATTAAATATTAAAACTTATTAAAAGGAATATTAGGTATTTTACAAAAATTAGAAAAAACACACACAAACTCACATACATTACACACACATCACATGCACACATTATATATGTATGTATGTATAATTATAGATCTGCAAGGTAAAGTTTTCAAAAGGAGAAAAAAAACTTGTTAATTAAAGCCACATCTGTTGGCAAGGGAGTGAACCATAAAAGCTGGGCAATCACTGATTAGTATTGGCTAATAAATTTAGGATAAGCATCGCCATTGAACCCCAGCATGTGGGTAGGGATTTTAAAAAAATATTACAGTTACTTGCTGTGTGTGCAGTTGTTTATGTGAGAATTGGTTAGCGTGTATGAGTTATTACATGTATATTTATATACAGTTATACAGTTTAGTTGAACCAGAACAAAAGGCTGTTACTACTAGTACATTTCTACAGTCAATGTCTTTTTAAAACTCTGGCCCCAGTGAACATAAACAAGATAAAAATGTTTCAACAAATGTATTTGTATTTACTGATAAATTCCACACAAAAACGCTGAAGATATTGACTCACTTCAAAGGATTAAAGAAATCAATTCTTGTTTATTTTTAAAATATGGATTTGTTTTCCTAAATTAACATGATAATTAAGAACAGCTTCAAAACTCATTTCAAAACAACCTTTCAAATAAAATTATTTAATAAAAAAAATTATTAACTCAAGCTTAGGAAGTGATTTTTTAAATTTTTTTATTTCCTTGTTAAAAGGTGGTGTTTTAGATAAGCATTTTGAAATTTTAAATTAATATTGTTCGCCTTCTTTGTCATTGGAAAAAAAAAGCACTTAAGAAAATCTGATAAATATGAGTGAGTTTAAAGATTGACCAGAGGGTTATATTTACTGTAAGCTGGAATAGTGGTTGTCTGCTTACAGCTGAACTAGAGCACTAAAGCCAGCTGACAACCATTGGATAATGGGAGGGTGGGGAAATTAGTGGGAGACATGGAGGGGTGGGGGGATCTTTAAACATGCAGTTTTAGGTTGATGGGTGGGGCATGGTATGTCATACATAAATTATGCATGTTTTGAATGTCAAACAGTAAAGTATGAGATGGGTGTATTTATATTTCTTTATTTCTTGATGAGCACATAGCTATTGTAGGAAAAATTTGTACAAATTGAAATAAACCTACATATCAAACTTTCTCAAGACTAAAAAATGACAGGTTTAGTCTACAGGACAAAAGCTTTGTCAGATATATTTAAGCCTGCTATCTCTTGATTCATTTATTATCTCACTGATTCATGGTTTAAAGTTATTAAATATAAACTTTTAATTTAATATTTTTTACAAACAGATAGTTATCCAAGTTATTAGTAGGTCATTTACTGAATGCTACAAATATTGTTACAATATGTAACATGTTGAATATCATGATGAAGTTTCTTGAGTTTTTTTTTCTTCTTATCTAAGCTATGTCACCTGCAGATTTAAAACATGTAATAGCCTTCATTTTTTTGCCAGATTACTAGCCAGTTTTTTCTCTTTGATTTCAGCATGTATTTGTGAATGAAACCAAGTTTAACTTGGCCTTAGCTTGGGCCTCTGGAGATAATCTAGGGGTGAGTATTTACTTCTAGGCTACTCTAGATGTATTGTTTCATATACTATTTAATGTAAAATTTGTTATGGGGGATAATTTAGGGGTCATCCATAAATGACTTCACGCTTTTTTTGACGATTTTTACCTCCCCCCTCCCCTCCGTCACACGTCGTCACAAAAAGTCAGACCCCCCCCCTAAAATGACGTCACACCTCAACCTACAACCCCCCTCAAAATTGCAGTTGAATTTTTTTTAAACATGGATATTTTTCCAAAATCTTGTCTAAACTATTACAATTTATTAAAACAGTCATCTAAAACGCGAAATAACGTCTAAAATTCGTTTTCTAACATTGCTTTTTTATAATGCAAAAATTTGACGTCGCAACATCTGAACCCCCCCCCCCCCCCTCCCCCTCATCACACATCGTCACAAAATTACGGAGTGTGACGTCATTTATGGATGACCCCTTAGGGATGTGTTTTAATTCTAATGTTGATGTATTGTTTCAAATACCTAAAATAAAAATTGTTATGGGGGATAATTTAGGGGTTAGTTTGAGTTCTAATGTTGATGTATTGTTTCAATACATAAAATAAAAAAATGTTATAGGGGATAATTTAAGGGTAAGTTTTAGTTCTAATGTTAATGTATTGTTTCAAAATCTAAAATAAAGAATGTTATAGGGGATACTTTAGAGGTTAGTTTGAGTTCTAATGTTGATGTATTGTTTCAAAATCTAAAATAAAGAATGTTATAGGGGATACTTTAGAGGTTAGTTTGAGTTCTAATGTTGATGTATTGTTTCAAAATCTAAAACAAAAAATGTTATAGGGGATACTTTAGAGGTTAGTTTGAGTTCTAATGTTGATGTATTGTTTCAAAATCTAAAACAAAAAATGTTATAGGGGATACTTTAGAGGTTAGTTTGAGTTCTAATGTTGATGTATTGTTTCAAAATCTAAAACAAAAAATGTTATAGGGGATACTTTAGGGGTGACTTTTAGTGAATTTATTGGCTCTACTGTTGCTACAATGTTTCAAACCGATAGTTCCCGGCTGTAACAACTGTTGATAAACATCTGGACCTTGACCTACCCAGTGCTTGATAGTGTGTAAGGGAGATCAATAGTGGTGAATTCAAGTTGATTCTCTCCCCTTGTAATATCCCCGTACCCTTAGACTGTGCAGTCTTTTGTTATGTTTCTTATCTGATTACCTATGCCCACGCTATCAGGTTATACCCCGTCTTCCCCCACGTAATGCATGACTTCCTACACCTGCTGTGTTTAAAGTTGATTTTAATTCCGTCATGTGACTTTTACCCCCCCCCCCCCGCCACTTAAGGCACGTGACACCACTGTCTTGTCACGTGATTCGAATAATTGACATTCCTGTTTGGTCTAAATTTACAAATCTGGGAAGTTTATTCTGTTGTACTAGGGGAAAGAAAATAGTTCCCCATAGTTTTCCCCTAGTGTTGGTTAATGTTATAGTCAGGATGTCTTGATGGTAGTGGGGTGCTGGTTGGCAGAGTTTCTTCCCCCCGAAAAAATTCTACCCCCACCCCCCCCACCCCCCGAACGAAATTAAATTTATATAATTTATATAGAAAATATATACTTTTAACAGTGTCCGCCCCCCCCCCCCCCCCGAAGAAAGTCTACCGCCCCCCCCCCCCCCCCGAAAATTTCAAGTGCCCCCCCCCTCCCCATTCCCGGAGAAAAAAGGCTGGAAGAAACACTGCTGGTTGGTTGGGCTGTAGCCAGTGTAATAGCAACTTTTTTTTTTTAATTTACAGCGACAGCGTGCTGTTGTTACCTATAATTTAAATGTCATAAAAATACGATTTTAAGTCCTTTATAGCGCCTTTGTATGGACCCCTCCGTAACTAGATCCTGCGTACTACGTCAATGCACAATTTTGCTCTGTTAAGATTTCCAAGATTTAATCTGTGATTTTCTGCGTGTTGCGTAAATCGCATAGGCCTAGGCTGTTTTAAAACAGGATCCCCCCCTATCATTCCGTGTTGTTGTACGAAAATATATGGTCTTGGTACAGTTCTAGATCTAAATCTAGAGTACATTTTTTTATTCTCTAGGCATACAAGTCAGCTCTTTATTTAAAAACTGACGTCATTATCTGGCGTTTGATACGGTAGTTGTGTCCCTTGGCAAAGTATAAACTTCTTACTGTGTGTAAGGGCTGTGACGAAAACGATTGTCACACATTGTTTACTGTTTACATCAAGTCAAACCCATCACGTCGCTCAGTCACGTGAGGTCAACATTTGAACTTTGTTTATTAATAAACCAAGTTTAAACCTAAACAAAAATGGGTGGAGGAGATTTTGGGCAAGGCTAGGTACTAGGTAGTGTCTTATATAGGCCCTATCATATGTAAGTGTTACGGGTCATTTGAGGTCAGGTTAGAATAGGATAGAATAATCTAGAACTAGGGGAGAGTGCGTGTGTGAGTTGAGTTCACACTACTGTGTAGTAGCCCCGGTGTGTCATGTCTTGTAACCCCAAGGTCGAATGCGGGTATTAAATGGCGAGTGAACGATTGTAGGGGGGGGGGGGCAGTCAGCGGGTTAGTTGCTAGCGATTAGGACGAGGGCTACGCTTGAATGTAGATGAGACGGAATAAAAGTATACAAGTTAGACACGTAGCGTTGTTGTTTGTCAGAGACTAACCCGGAACGTAACAGTAAGCAGTCACTGACACTGTATCTTGTTACGCGGGGCCGAGGGGGAATCAAGTCACGTGACCCCCCCCCCCCCCCCGGGTAGGTGTACGGAGTTGTTCCATCAACCATCAACCTCCCCGCATGCTTGAATGTTTGCTGGTGATGTTTCCTATCAGACCACGCTGCAGTGTTACAGCAGTGATAGCTAAACTATAAGTCACGTGACATTGTTACCTCACCCACGTGATGCAGCACGAGTTTCGTCAGCTGGATACTAGAGACATAACGCATGCCCAGCGGGGTAGTTTCACAGTTCTGCACAGCACACCCCCCCCCCCCCCCACACACACGCACTTAACATATTGCACTATTTATTGAACCTCCCACCCTTTTAGCCACATCTGTCTTTACTTTCACGTGTACACTGAAGATTAAACCCACGCATGTTTGTTATGATGACCATCCATAGGCATAATGGCATCCAACCCTTTAGCCTGTACTGGACACTTCCTCACAAAAGCCAGCGCCCCCCCCCCCCCCCCCCCCATCAGCTAGAGGCTGGTGAAAGAAAAATATTTGTATATTTTTAGACCCCTCACCTAGTTATGGGGCTTTAAGTCATTAATGCTGACCTTTCCCTCAGCTGATTAAATTGTCTGTAGACAAAAACACGTTTTGGCGAAACTGTGTTCAATGGTTATCTAATCAAATATTTTAACTCCATTGGGGGCAAAACAAAGCTCACTGAGTTCATGTAAAACACATTTGAACAAAAACTAAATAGAAATGGACCTGTTGAATCCAATGAGGAAAGAGTGAGATCTATGAAAATTAGAATAGGCTACAAGTTTTTTGTGTGATTTGTTTTTAGATCTATGAAAATGAGAATAGGCTACAAGTTTTTTATGTGATTTGTTTGTAGATCTATGAAAATAAGAACAAGCTACAAGTTTTTTGTTTGATTTGTCTGTAGCTACAAGTTTTTTATTATTCTGTAGATCCTCCTGGTCCTGACCACAGATTCAAAAGGCTTCACACATGAATCCACTCTATGGAGGAGGTCAGTTGCTTGTCTACCTACTTAGTCTATTGTCAGTAGTTTCTTTCACAGGTTTACATATTCTGACAAGAGATCACACAGCCCACCACAGGACCACACAGCCCACTACACGACCACACATCCCACTTCATGACCACACAGCCCACCACATGACCACACAGCCCACCACATGACCACACAGCCCACCACAGGACCACACAGCCCACCACAGGACCACACAGCCCACCACACAGCCCACCACATGACCACAGAATCACTGACTATGGTACCACTGACCAGCCCTATTAGACCTCTGTAATTGAATGTCATGTATCCACCCCCAGCACTGACCATGGCAGAAGCTGGAAGAACTGGTCCCATGCCGTGGATAACAATGTGTTTCGCATGAATGACGGCTTGCAGAGAAATCCTCTCAATCCAAGCAAGGTTAGAATCCTACATTAAATTCTTTCAACATCCTCAATGTTCTCCATTACCACCAAGTTATAATGTTTGCTGTATTTTTTTCTTCAGGTGTACCTGGTGAGCTACGAGCCATTCCTCTATGTGACAGAGAATGGTGGGGAAACATGGAAGAAATCTGAACTGGAGAAGCCGCTGGACGGCAGCCCCTTCGAGGTGGTGGTGGATGAGCAACTGGAGTTCCATCCTGAGATGGAGGATTATGTTGCTGTCATTACAAACTCAAGACAAGTACGTATGTGTTGTCTGTTTGCTAGTATGTGTGTGGGATCGTGTTATTTCCAGCAGAAAACTATTGGTGTATGTATTGTCTGATCTTGTTTTAGATTGAAGCTTTGACTGACTAGCTTCTGAATGAAGAACATAATCTTTCCAGATAATTTAGCTTAGACCTTGTTGACAGTGATGATCCATGTTCAATTTTGTCCACTTTTCTAGTATTTGCATGTCACAATGTCAAATTTTAGCCTTACTTTTCTTGTATCTGTATGTCACAATGTCAAATTTAGCCTTACTTTTCTTGTAGCTGTATGTCACATACAACAACTTCAAGACAAAGGCTGAGTCCATACAACAGAGTGTGCATGCTGTCAAGTGGTAAGATTTCATTGTTTAGTTATCTTATGTAGTGGTAAGATTTCATTGTTTAGTTATCTTACCTCATGTAGTGGTAAGATTTCATTGTTTAGTTATCTTATGTAGTGGTAAGATTTCATTGTTTAGTTATCTCATGTAGTGGTAAGATTTCATTGTTTAGTTATCTAGACTCATGTAGTGGTAAGATTTCATTGTTTAGTTACCTCATGTAGTGGTAAGATTTCATTGTTTAGTTACCTCATGTAGTGGTAAGATTTCATTGTTTAGTTATCTCATGTAATGGTAAGATTTCATTGTTTAGTTACCTCATGTAGTGGTAAGATTTCATTGTTTAGTTATCTCATGTAGTGGTAAGATTTCGTTGTTTAGTTATCTCATGTAGTGGTAAGATTTCATTGTTTAGTTATCTTATGTAGTGGTAAGATTTCATTGTTTAGTTATCTTATGTAGTGGTAAGATTTCATTGTTTAGTTATCTCATGTAGTGGTAAGATTTCATTGTTTAGTTATCTCATGTAGTGGTAAGATTTCATTGTTTAGTTACCTCATGTACTGGTAAGATTTCATTGTTTAGTTATCTCATGTAGTGGTAAGATTTCATTGTTTAGTTATCTTACCTCATGTAGTGGTAAGATTTCATTGTTTAGTTACCTCATGTAGTGGTAAGATTTCATTGTTTAGTTATCTTACCTCATGTAGTGGTAAGATTTCATTGTTTAGTTATCTTACCTCATGTAGTGGTAAGATTTCATTGTTTAGTTATCTTATGTAGTGGTAAGATTTCATTGTTTAGTTATCTTATGTAGTGGTAAGATTTCATTGTTTAGTTATCTCATGTAGTGGTAAGATTTCATTGTTTAGTTATCTCATGTAGTGGTAAGATTTCATTGTTTAGTTACCTCATGTACTGGTAAGATTTCATTGTTTAGTTATCTCATGTAGTGGTAAGATTTCATTGTTTAGTTATCTTACCTCATGTAGTGGTAAGATTTCATTGTTTAGTTACCTCATGTAGTGGTAAGATTTCATTGTTTAGTTACCTCATGTAGTGGTAAGATTTCATTGTTTAGTTATCTTACCTCATGTAGTGGTAAGATTTCATTGTTTAGTTATCTTACCTCATGTAGTGGTAAGATTTCATTGTTTAGTTATGTAGTGGTAAGATTTCATTGTTTAGTTATGTAGTGGTAAGATTTCATTGTTTAGTTATCTCATGTAGTGGTAAGATTTCATTGTTTAGTTATCTCATGTAGTGGTAAGATTTCATTGTTTAGTTATCTCATGTAGTGGTAAGATTTCATTGTTTAGTTATGTAGTGGTAAGATTTCATTATTTAGTTATCTTACCTCATGCAGTAGTAGATACGTAACCTTCACAAATTATTGCGTAAATTCTTCACTTTGTGTTGGGATAAAATTATATTTGGGCAATACATCACAGTTTGTTTATGTCATATCATCTTAAGCATAATATTATTTAAATAACCTGTAGCAGTTTGATGAGGATGATGTTGTGTTTACTACACCACAGCTGTTTTATGTTTGTGAATGTTTCTCTTCCAGGGGCTCAGTGAAAGCTAAAACAGAAAAATGTTTGTATGTGACCACAGGGGAGTTTGCTCACCCATTGTTCAGTAAGTTTGTGTGGCATGGCATTACACTGTACAACAGCACATAGTATAATTGTTTGAGTACATACACTGTTATTGTACACTGTACACCAGGACATTGTATAATTGTTTGAGTACATACACTGTTATTGTACACTGTACAACAGGACATTGTATAATTGTTTGACTAGATACAGCCTTGTTGCTGTTATAGTACAAGCGGGTTGGCATTACACTGTAGAACCAGGACATTGCATAACTCTTTGACTAGATATTGTATAACCATATTATTGTATATAATCCATTTAATTTTATACAGCTTTGTAGCTGTTATTGTACAAGTTGGTTGGCATTACACTGTACAACCAGAAGATTGTATAACTCTGTGAGCCTTGTAGCTCTTATTGGTTTTATTTCTGACACATACATATTTCTTGTACTTCACACCAAGAACTAAACATCAGTCTTAGAAAAGTACCTAACAATTTTTAAACCAATTTCACTTAAGCTATATTTATTTGGTATCTTTGAAGTCACGTATGTGTTGAACTAATGGACCTGTCTGTTTCAGGCATTGGGCCAGAGATCCTTGACCTACAGCGCTACGACAGCCGATCAAACACCTGGAAAACTATCCTCAAGAGGGTCGCTGTCTTTGATGTCCAGGACAAGTTTATATATGCTTCCATTTATAAGTCTGAAAACCCCAAAACTGCTGTAAGTTTATATATGCTTCCATTTATAAGTCTGAAAACCCCAAAACTGCTGTAAGTTTATATATGCTTCCATTTATAAGTCTGAAAACCCCAAAACTGCTGTAAGTTTATATATGCTTCCATTTATAAGTCTGAAAACCCCAAAACTGCTGTAAGTTTAAATATGCTTCCATTTATAAGTCTGAAAATCCCAAAACTGCTGTAAGTTTATATATGCTTCCATTTATAAGTCTGAAAATCCCAAAACTGCTGTAAGTTTATATATGCTTCCATTTATAAGTCTGAAAATCCCAAAACTGCTGTAAGTTTATATATGCTTCCATTTTCAAGTCTGAAAACCCCAAAACTGCTGAAAGTTTATATATGCTTCCATTTTCAAGTCTGAAAACCCCAAAACTGCTGTAAGTTTAAATATGCTTCCATTTTCAAGTTTGAAAACCCCAAAACTGCTGTAAGCATTATTTATGCTTCTATTTTAAAGTCTTAAAATCCTATAACTTGCTTCTGTTTAAAACCCCCGAAATATCTGACATTTGTGTATTTTTTTAGTGGGTTCATGTTTATGTGCTTGTTAAGTGGGTGATTGTTTGACAAGTTGTGTCCTGTGTGACATGTTGTGTCTTGTATGACAAGTTGTGTCTTGTATGACAAGTTGTGTCTTGTGTGACAAGTTGTGTCTTGTGTGACAAGTTGTGTCTTGTGTGACAAGTTGTGTCTTGTGTGACAAGTTGTGTCTTTTGTGACAAGTTGTGTCTTGTGTGACAAGTTGTGTCTTGTGTGACAAGTTGTGTTTGTGTGACACGTTGTGTTTGTGTGACAAGTTGTGTCTTGTGTGACAAGTTGTATGACAAATTGTGTGACAAGTTGTGTCTTGTGTGACAAGTTGTGTCTTGTGTGACAAGTTGTGTCTTTTGTGACAAGTTGTGTCTTGTGTGACAAGTTGTGTCTTGTGTGACAAGTTGTGTTTGTGTGACAAGTTGTGTCTTGTGTGACACGTTGTGTTTGTGTGACAAGTTGTGTCTTGTGTGACAAGTTGTATGACAAATTGTGTGACAAGTTGTGTCTTGTGTGACAAGTTGTGTCTTGTGTGACACGTTGTGTCTTGTGTGACAAGTTGTGTCTTGTGTGACAAGTTGTGTTTGTGTGACAAGTTGTGTCTTGTGTGACAAGTTGTGTTTGTGTGACAAGTTGTGTCTGTGTGTGACAACTTGTGTGACAAGTTGTGTCTTGTGTGACAAGTTGTGTCTTGTGTAACAAGTTATGTGACAAGTTGTGTCTTGTGTGACAAGTTATGTGACAAGTTGTGTCTTGTGTGACAAGTTATGTGACAAGTTGTGTCTTGTGTGACAAGTTGTGTCTGTTGTGACAAGTTGTGTGATAAGTTGTGTCTTGTGTGACAAGTTGTGTCTTGTGTGACAAGTTGTGTCTTGTGTGACAAGTTATGTGACAAGTTGTGTCTTGTGTGACAAGTTGTGTCTTGTGTGACAAGTTGTGCCTTGTGTGACAAGTTGTGCCTTGTGTGACAAGTTGTGCCTTGTGTGACAAGTTGTGCCTTGTGTGACAAGTTGTGTGACAAGTTGTGTCTTGTGTGACAAGTTGTGCCTTGTGTGACAAGTTGTGCCTTGTGTGACAAGTTGTGCCTTGTGTGACAAGTTGTGTCTTGTGTGACAAGATATGTGACAAGTTGTGTCTTGTGTGACAAGTTGTGTCTTGTGTGACAAGTTATGTGACAAGTTGTGTCTTGTCTGACAAGTTGTGTCTTGTCTGACAAGTTGTGTCTTGTGTGACAAGTTATGTGACAAGTTGTGTCTTGTGTGACAAGTTGTGTCTTGTGTGACAAGTTGTGTCTTGTCTGACAAGTTGTGTCTTGTGTGACAAGTTATGTGACAAGTTATGTCTTGTGTGACAAGGTGTGTCTTGTGTGACAAGTTGTGTCTTGTGTGACAAGTTGTGTCTTGTGTGACAAGTTGTGTCTTGTGTGACAAGTTGTGTCTTGTGTGACAAGTTGTGTCTGTGTGTGACAAGTTGTGTCTGTGTGTGACAAGTTGTGCCTGTGTGTGACAAGTTGTGCCTGTGTGTGACAAGTTGTGTCTGTGTGACAAGTTGTGTCTGTGTGTGACAAGTTGTGTCTAGTGTGACAAGTTGTGTCTTGTGTGACAAGTTGTGTCTTTTGTGACAAGTTATGTCTTGTGTCTGCAGGAGGATGACAAGCTGATGATGATCTCATCTGATGGTGGCGACACCTGGGGGGAAGCTCAGCTGCCTACACTGACAGGAGACAGGGTAAGCTCAACTAGTTTAGCTCCTAGTTTTGACAGGTCACAGAGCTTAGCTCTTAGTTTTACATTGTCACAGCTGCATGTTATTCAGCCAGACTTAGAGTCTTGGCCAGTCAGAGAATTAATTCAGGAGAGACTGATATTAAAAAAACTGTTTAAGATGCTGTTTTAATTTGTTTAACAAAGCTGTTTCTAATGAATTGATGTTGTAAAATTTCTTTCAGTTTTACTCTGTGCTGGATATGTCTGAGGGTTTGATCTTTATGCATGTGGACAACCCAGGAGGTAGGGGAGGTCACTCTTATTCATCACATCTTCTTTTTTTTACATGGCTGTTTTTTAACTGCTTCAACTATGAGCAACCCACCTATTGGTAACATTTTGATAAAGATAATTTTTTTTTATTATTTATCAATCCACTTCAGCATCTTACAACTTTTTTATAGATAAAAGAAACTCTTTAAAATTCTCACCAGAAAAAAAAAATAAGTAAAAAGTTTAGCTGATAAAATAAGAAGAGTTTTTGGAAATTCAATATAAGTGACTTGCAGTTTTTGCAAGTGCACTTCATATCATTGAAGACACTATTCAATCTTTTTAATGAAATAATATTTTTTTTTCTAACAGAACCAATCAGTTTAAATTTTTTATTTTGTTTACCAGATACTGGCCACGGTACCTTGTACACGTCCTCCTCTGATGGCATTGTTTACTCAGAGTCCCTGAGGAATCATCTGTTCCCTAACTATAACTCAATCCATGACTTCTATAAGGTAAGCTCTTCCCTAACTATAACTCTAACCATGACTTACCCCCAAAACTCAATCCATGACTTACTTTAACCCTAACTCAATCCTAACATATCTCTGCCTGTTGTATGTGTGCAGGTGGAGTCAATACGTGGCGTGTACATGGCCAGTCAGATGAACGAGGTGGACAAGTCCATCCACACAGTCATCACCTTCAACAGAGGAGCAGAGTGGCTCAACGTCTCACGCCCCGATGGCGTGGAGTGTAAAAATGCTGAAAAGGTACTCACTCACAAGAGCCAGTTTTGTATTAACCTCATATAACCTGCTCATGACATATGTATTCTTCCTGTTTCACTTGTCATTGTCATATGACATGTGCTGTTTCTTCACCCTGTTATTATGACACGTATTGTTGCTATCCTCCGGTCACTTGTCTTGACACATATTGTTGCCATCCCCCCCCCCCCCTCCCCCGTCATATGTTATGACACATATTGTTGTTATCCTTAGGACGGATGCTACCTACAGATCCACAACGCCTACAGTGTACACAGAGGTGTCAACGCCCGGCCTCCAGCCAGTAGCAAAAGTGCTAATGGAATTATCTTGGTCCATGGTCAGTCATTAGTTTTTACCTTGGTCTGTTGTCCGTCATTAGTGGTCAGTTTGCTTTGTGTTGTGTAACCTCAATTTTCCTTAAATTGTCAATAGAAACTTGCCATCAATAGAATTACAGTAGCTGTGTTTTGAATATTTCACCAACTCTAAACTTTGAATATTTCACCAACTCTAAACTTTGAATATTTCACCAACTCCAGACTTTGAATATTTCACACCACCACTAAACCAGACAATTAATCAGACTTTGAATATTTCAGGTCATGTAGCCAGCAACCTACAGACCACACCACCTGATGTCTTCCTCTCCACAGATGGAGGATACCACTTTAAAAAGGTCAGTCAAATACAAGTTTTCCAAACAAATTGTTTTCACTGATGTTTTTAAAATTACAGTTACAAATTCTCTGTTGAAATGCAAGTTTTTGTTTCTTAGACCCACCTTTTTTTTGCTCACAATCACCAAGCTCCATTGTTTCCTTCCTTCCTCTTCAGAAATTTTTTGCATTGTTCACAAATCTTGTAGGATTAGAAAAAAAAGTAGTATTTTTGTATGGAGTAATTGCTAATGATATCTAGAGGTTTATTTGAAATTTGAATTTCATGCTAGCTACTCTAAGACTTGCCATGTCTAACACAAAGGTAATGTTTTACATAGTGTTGTAATGAAAGTTGTATCCCTTGTGCAGGTCCTGACTGGCCCCCATGCCTATGAGATTGCTGACAGTGGTGGGCTGCTGGTTGCTGTACCTATCTCTCAAGATGTGGTGGACATCATCAAGTTCAGCACTGACGAGGGCAACTGTTGGCACGTGTACAAGTTTACCAATGACTCCATCAAGTAAGTTTGACTCACCTGTACAAGTTTACCAATGACTCCATCAAGTAAGTCTGACTCACCTGTACACCTGTACATGTGACACATGTGTACAAGTTTACAAATGACTCCATCAAGTAAGTCTGACTCACCTGTACATGTGTACAAGTTTACCAATGACTCCATCAAGTAAGTCTGACTCACCTGTACATGTGACACCTGTGTACAAGTTTACCAATGACTCCATCAAGTAAGTCTGACTCACCTGTACATGTGTACATGTGACACCTGTGTACAAGTTTACCAATGACCCCATCAAGTAAGTCTGACTCATCTGTACATGTGACACCTGTGTACAAGTTTACCAATGACTCCATCAAGTAAGTCTGACTCACCTGTACATGTGTACAAGTTTACCAATGACTCCATCAAGTAAGTCTGACTCACCTGTACATGTGACACCTGTGTACAAGTTTACCAATGACTCCATCAAGTAAGTCTGACTCACCTGTACATGTGACTGTCTTATGTTTTTACCTGCAAGTTTACTGGGCTCCTGACTGAGCCAGGTGGCAAGTCTATGACTGTCTCATGTTTTTACCTGCAGGTTCACTGAGCCAGGTGGCAAGTCTATGACTGTCTCATGTTTTTACCTGTAGGTTCACTGGGCCAGGTGGCAAGTCTATGACTGTCTCATGTTTTTACCTGCAGGTTTACTGGGCTCCTGACTGAGTCAGGTGGCAAGTCTATGACTGTCTCATGTTTTTACCTGCAGGTTTACTGGGCTCCTGACTGAGCCAGGTGGCAAGTCTATGACTGTCTCATGTTTTTACCTGCAGGTTTACTGGGCTCCTGACTGAGCCAGGTGGCAAGTCTATGACTGTCTCATGTTTTTACCTGCAGGTTTACTGGGCTCCTGACTGAGCCAGGTGGCAAGTCTATGACAGTGGGCATCTGGGGCTACACCAGTGACACCAAGAAGTGGACCGTCAACGTCATTGACTTTAACAATGTGGTCAAGGATGAATGTAAGTGTTCACTTATTTGCTAAACACTTGCCCCCCTCCAGGCTCCAGCTAATCTTTGCTTGTAAATACATCTGGGTATGTCCAGTCCAAGATGTGCACTTTAGTTTTATGGGTTTCCTCCATTCAGTATTGAATGTTTTATTGGTGTGACCAATATGATATTTTGTCTTCTGCATATTCAGTCCAATATTTACACCATTGTCTTCTGCATATCCAGTCCAATATTTATACCATTGTTTTCTGTGTCCAGTCCAACATTTACACCATTGTTTTCTGCGTCCAGTCCAATATTTATACCATTGTTTTCTGTATGTCCAGTCCAATATTTACACCATTATTGTCTGTGTCCAGTCCATCATTTACACCATTGTTTTCTGCGTCCAGTCCAACATTTACACCATTGTTTTCTGCATCCAGTCCAATATTTACACCATTGTTTTCTGCATCCAGTCCAACATTTACACCATTGTTTTCTGCATCCAGTCCAATATTTACACCATTGACTTCTGTGTCCAGTCCAATATTTACACCATTGACTTCTGTGTCCAGTCCAACATTTACACCATTGTTTTCTGCATCCAGTCCAATATTTACACCATCATCTTCTGTGTCCAGTCCAACATTTACACCATTGTTTTCTGCATCCAGTCCAATATTTACACCATTGTTTTCTGCATCCAGTCCAACATTTACACCATTTGTTTGTGTGATCAGGTAAAGAAGACGACTATGAGCAGTGGGTGCCACACTCTGGTCTGAAGACACAGAAGGGCCATGAGGGATGTTTACTTGGTCAAAAGGAAACTTACAGGAAGTTGAAGGCAGACTCATGGTAAACAAATTTAGGCTTTTGACATGTAAATTTTATCATTTTTTTACGGTAATATTCTTCTTCTGTTTGAGGAAAATTGTCCACCTATATTTTTCCAGCCACCAAATTTTTTTTAGAAATAGTTCAGTCAATCCATTCTCTATTTTATTTTGCCAATAATTAAAAAGAAAAGGGTAATTTATTTGATGGACTCGACCAATTTTATGTATGAAACAAATGTGCTCAAATATTCTATTTTGATGCATGTCTCAATGATGAAAAGCCCCTGACTTGCTTCTCAATGCCACACTGTAGACACCTTTTACTTAGATTGATATCAAGACACTAAACTAGCCTGTCGCTACTTTTTTTTACCATCGTCATGGTAATGATGGATTCCGTTTTTTTAACAATGTTTCATGGTCAGTTCAGAAATATATACTTAAAATCGTTATTTTTGCGCATTATTCAACAATACCGGTCTAGTTTTAACAATGGACGAATAGTGTTTGATGCCATTTGTACTTTTTTTTTATCTAATCGCTGAGATATCGAGCAGAACATAATAAAAGTAAACAAAACGTGAATTGCTTCATTTAATATTGTTATAAACATACTGAAAATATATTCTAAACTATAGAAAATTATAACTTGCTTTATACTAAACAAATGTCATTGATGTTTTAAAAATCGTGCAGGGTAAAAACAAAACCAATAAAAAATAATTTGATCGAGACAACAGCTAACTAAGCCGGCACAATTTGCCAGCCGTGTATTTGAAGGGGGATAAATCTAGCAGACAACACACATTTCTGCTGAACGGCAGTGAACGGTCAATCGCGTCACAACACCACTTCTTAAAAAACTAACCCACCGTGTCACTGAAAATCAGTCATATCATCGTAGCCATTTAAAAGCAAAAGCTTTTTCTAGGCTACTGATTAAATTTGATAAATAAAATAGGTATCAAATTAAAGATAAATAAATGTAGTTTTTAATTGTTTAAAACAATAATGAAGTTTAAAACCTTAGGCGACGTCGTACACTAAACATCTCCACTGTTTTAGGTGCAGAAATGGCTATGCCCGCCCTGCTGCATATAGTAATGAGAGATGTACCTGCATTGAAGATGATTATGAGTGGTAAGTATCTTGGACATCATTTTTTGTTGATCTTATTTTTAGATGTTTTTTTTATGAATGAATGACCAGCACTATGTTGCATGTGCTAGTTAATTTTGTTTACAGTTACTAAATCCTGTCCTGTTTGTCCTATCCCTATAGACAATGTCCTACTTGTCCTACCCCCATTGATAATGTCCTACATGTCCTATCCCCAGTGACTTTGGCTTCTATCGTCCTGATGGTTCCACCAAGTGCATCAGACAACCAGAGATCAAGGCTGAGGAGATTGATGTCTGTAAAAACCAGCACCTAGAGAGGCTCGTTAGTGTTGGGTGAGATAATTAGTTAATTAGAGAGGCTCGTTAGTGTTGGGTGAGATAATTAGTTAATTAGAGAGGCTCGTTAGTGTTGGTTGAGATAATTAGTTAATTTAGAGAGGCTTGTTAGTGTTGGGTGAGATAATTGGTTCATTAAGTTTTTATATTACCTGCAAGACTTTCTAATCACCTGTACTGTAGAAAAATATTTCCTATATGTCACTCTCTATATCTCCCCCTCCCCACCGCAGCTACCGTCTGATCCCTGGGGATGTCTGCAACCCTAACGGAGGATTCCAGCCCAAAGCTGAGGAGGATGACCTCAATAAGTTGTGTGGTCTGGGTGACAAGAGCGTCATTATGAGTGACATCGCAGCCCCTAAGACAGTAAGTCTTCATCATTCTCCCCATTGAAATGCAACACAATAATCCCACCATCACAACACAATAATCCCACCATCACAACACAGTAATCCCACCATCACAACACAGTAATCCCACCATCACAACACAATAATCCCACCATCACAACACAATAATCCCACCATCACCTAGCAACTTCACTGTCATCAAATACATAGACCACTGCTGACTTTAAGTAGACCTGTAATGTTTGGGACCTAATGTTCAGGAGAGCAGTAGAGGTAGAGTTTCTCTGTTTCTTTGACCACAGCATATGAAGGGATAGTATTGCCATAGCCGCCTTTACTTTTCTCTAATGTGAGTCAGGTACCCATCAGAACTGGGTAGACTTAGGGAGATACTTGAGTCAGAAGATTGAAACTAGAAATGTATGCATTAGCAGTTGAGCACTCTACCACCCGTGGTCCAGTGAAGACAAGTTGTTGTAGTCAAGACAAGTTGTTGTAGTCCAGGGAAGACAAGTTGTTGTAGTCCAGTCAAGACAAGTTGTTGTAGTCCAGTCAAGACAAGTTGTTGTAGTCCAGTCAAGACAAGTTGTTGTAGTCCAGTCAAGACAAGTTGTTGTAGTCCAGTCAAGACAAGTTGTTGTAGTCCAGTCAAGACAAGTTGTTATAGTCCAGTTAAGACAAGTTGTTGTAGTCCAGTCAAGACAAGTTGTTGTAGTCCAGTCAAGACAAGTTGTTGTAGTCCAGTCAAGACAAGTTGTTGTAGTCCAGTCAAGACAAGTTGTTGTAGTCCAGTCAAGACAAGTTGTTGTAGTCCAGTCAAGACAAGTTGTTGTAGTCCAGTCGACAAGTTATTGTAATCCACCATTGTCTCTCTCCACAGTACACTGGATCCTACAAGCTGGTGATTGGCTCCATCATTGCTGTCATTGTGCTGCTTGTCGCTGTCGTTGGCGCTGTCTTTGCTTACAAGCTGGTTCTCCTGCGCAGGCAGTAAGTCTGTCCTTGTATTTGTGGGTGGAGGCAGACAGTTTATATTTTGTGTGGTGTCTGTGCTAGACAGTTTATATTTTGTGTGATGTCTGTCTGTCCTTGTGTTTGTGGGTGGAGGCAGACAGTTTATATTTTGTGTGATGTCTACTTTAATTAATTATGTGTTGTCCAGACTAAATAATTGTGTGTGTAGAGTACATTGTTGAAATGTTATGTCATGCTCGTATTAGAAAACAACTTGTGCTGTACGTGTGTAGGCTACACACGTCACTTACTTGTGCGCATTTAAATGAAGCTGTAACTCAATTATTGTTGACATGATTATGTAACTAACAAGGGGAGAGGACTGTGTTCTTAAAGACCAGCTTTTTTTTCCCCCCACAGCAAAGTTGTGTACCGCTACTCAGCTTTGAACACCACTGATGAGAGGGACAACGACTATGAAAATGCTTTGGTCAGCCACGACACACTGTACAGGGAGTCATCAGATGATGAGGTGGGTGTGGTCATGGCCTAATTAGCTGGATCTAAAGATTAACCACGCCTGGTTGCAATTAGAACTTATTTGCTGTAAGGCCTCTGATAGCTACCCTTGTAGGACCTTTTTATAACATCTGTTGTAAGACCTCTAATAAAACTACTGTAAGCCCTCTAATAACCACTACTGTAAGACCTCTAATAAAATTGCTGTAAGACCTCTAATAACCACTACTGTAAGACCTCTAATAAAATTGCTGAAAGACTTTTAATAACAAATGCTGCAAGACCTCAAATTACCACTGTAAGACCTCTAATAACCACTACTGTAAGACCTCTAATGAAACTACTGTAAGACCTCAAATAACAAATGCTGTAAGACCTCTAGTAAAACTGCTGTAAGACCTCTAATAACAACTACTGTAAGACCTCTAATTACAACTAACAACTGCTGTAAGACCTCTTAAAGCTACCCTTCTAGGGCCTTTTATAACATTTGCTGTAAGACCACTAATAACAACTGCTGCAAGACCTCTAATCACAACTGCTGTAAGACCTCTAATATCTGGCTGTAAGACCTCTAATAAAACTGCTGTAAGACCTCTAATATCTGTGTGTGTGTCCACAGGTGGAGCAAGAGAACCAATCACCACAACGTAATGGTAAAGGCCCAGTGAAAGAAAAACCTGACATTCGGTCCTTTCACGATGACTCTGATGACGTGAGTGGTCGTTTTTTTTTTGGTTCCCTTTTCAAAACTGACAATTCATGGGGCAAGTGAAGTAGAGTCCATCTGTTTCCCCTCGGCATATGAAGAGATAGTGTGTTCAGCACTACGCCCAGCTGCCTTTACTTTCCCTAATGTCTGTTAGGTACCTATCAAAGCTGGGTGGACTCAAGGACGTTCTACGTACTTGAACCCAGATTCGAACTCAAGAATTTTGGGTTAGCAGTCATAAGCTCTACCGTTCCACTACTCTTTCCCATTTGCCAACATAAAATTAACATCATTTGGTATCATCACAACAACCCTAATTTTAGTTAATAAAAGAAATAACATTTTGCTGTAAATTAAATAACCATGTTCCAGTATAATAAATTAATCACAGTCTTGAAAGATAAAATTAACCAGTCTTGCAATTATAAAATTAACCATATGATGTTTTAGAACAAAATTAATCTTAGTGTTGTATAATAAAATTAACCATATGATGTTTTTGAACAAAATTAACCTTAGTGTTGTAAAATAAAATTAACCATATGATGTTTTAGAATAAAATTAACCATATGATGTTTTAAAATAAAATTAATCATATTAATATGTTTTAGAATGAAATGAACCCAGTCTTGTATCATTAAATTTATCTGTTTTGTTTCATCTGCTGCTTTCAGGACATGCTTGGATAAAGATAAAAGCTGTTCACTTTGTCTTTCATGCTTCTGTGATTGCTGTCTGACAACACTCACCTGTTTGGTGTGTTGAGATGTTTGGTGTGTTGATGCAGCTTCAGAAAAATTAGCTGGTAACAGAGGCCAAGAGATGTGGATGTTGATGTGCTGGGTGGAAGTGTGTGTGTGAAGGTGAAAGTGTGTGTGGTGGGTGTATCATGGCTGAAAGTTGTGTGCAGGGTGTGTTATTCATGTTCAAAAAATAGATCTTTTTTTTTTTTATGTCCTTAACAACCTGCTATTTTATTTATAACTTAATCATCCAATGTTTAGATCATCCAATATTTAGATCATCCAATGTTTAGATCATCCAATGTTTAGTGTGGTTAGCTCCACAGATCATCTGGTTGTAAAAATTAGCTTTTTTTTTTGTCAACTTCTTGACATGTTGAAAACAGGTTGAGAAATGTGAAAGCAATTTCTTTCCATTCAGATGTCTGATCTCATCCAATCATTGACCACTGATGTACACACTTTGGGCTTTTTATATATTCTGTTTATGCAATCATTTTTTAAAATAATTTTTTAAATACATTCTCTTTATGGATCTTAATGCAATAGTTGCTGAGCATAATTTTGTTTGAAATCCTTGTCATAATATTAATTAATATTTCCATTAGAGGGCTTTTGGCATGTTTTTTTTTTTGGAGGAAGGGGATTAACTCTGATCAAAATATTTTCATAAATTTGTATAAGAAGTATGTTAAAACTTGGATTGGAACTTGATGTCAGTATTTATTTAACACAACGCTGGTTGTGAACATTTGATATAGAGGGAAGTTATAATAAAATTTCTATTTTGTTCAAAACAGGATAAAATACTAGATATTGTTTGATAAAATTAGCACTCAACATTTATTCCAGTCTTTGAAGTGAAAGAAAAATTATAAAAACTAATCAGCTGTTAAATTGTTTATTATGGTATGGCAGTTAAGCAGTAATGCAGCAACATATGGGGAATTGAGATTTTTTTTTTTGAAAGGACATAGGTGATTTGATGATTAACTTAATTAATGTGGACTACATTTAATTGTACCAGTATCACATGATGACCCACAGTTGTAGTGGAGTGGCCACTGCAATGTTCATTCAATATATGTTAATTTTGTCATTGATGAACCATTTTTTATAACCTTTGACCCTGCTCTAAGCCTAGAACCAGGCAACATTTTCTCTCCTGCACCCCAGCTGTTAAAATATTCCCATGTGCTGGATTGAGTAACCAAACTGTCAGGGTTGATTTGTTTTTTCAGAGATTTATTTACAATATATTTTACTACTTTAGTTTACTTTTGTGTAGGGCCAATTATTGGTAAAAATAAACTTTCATTCCATATGTTCTTATTTTGTGTCTTTATTTTTCTTTAATGAAATGTTTCTAATTTTTTGTAATTTTTTTTTTTTTTAAATATTTTCATTCAAGGTTTTAAGTGCAAGCTGATAAAAACTAAATTTGAAAGTCCCCAAAATAAATTCCTAAAATTCAATTGGTTTATTAGCTGTATTCCTTAAAAACCTTTGAATATAGATCTACCTGTTTTGATGTGGATGCACAGGTTCTTATATGTGTGCAACGGTAATGTTAATATGTCAAAGGTAATCCTAAGTCTACCCCAAGTTCTTTGGTCATTTTATTATAACTAAATAAAGCTCTTTGTCTGTAAACTTTTATCGACTGCCACCATCTTAAAGTTGTCACCAGGGCCAGCAAAAAATTATGCCATACAAAACCTGACAGATGTCATTGACAAAAAAACATGACAAACACAGATAACAAGAAAACATGACATATACAGATGACAAGAAAACATGACATACACAGATGACAAGAAAACATGACATATACAGATGACAAGAAAACATGACAAACACAGATGACAAGAAAACATGACAAACACAGATGACAAGAAAACATGACATACTCAGATGATAAGAAAACATGACACACACAGATGACAAGAAAACATGACAGATGACAAGAAAACATGACATACTCAGATGATAAGAAAACATGACACACACAGATGACAAGAAAACATGACAGATGACAAGAAAACATGACACACACAGAAGGCATGTAGAAGAAATACTTTATTGAAAATATTTTAGTGTAGTCCATGCCAATAGCTGGCTACAGTTAACCCAAAACTCAGGTCCAGGTGTGTGTTAAACCTCTTAGCGCATGGCTGGGTGGATGTTAAACTTGCCACATGGCTAGGTGCTGGTTAAACCTTTAAGCACATGGCTGATTGTTGGTTAAACCTCTTAGCACATGGCTGGGTGGATGTTAAACCTGATAGTACCAAATGTAAAAAAAACAAAATCCAGCTTCCCAATGTAGGATTTGCTAAAAACAAACATAAACAATGTCATGTGACCACAATGTCATGTGACTGCTTTTGGCAAATATCAAAAGATAAGTTTTTCTCATCAGCACTTTGAATGTCAAAAAAAAAAAAAAATTCTATACAAAGTAAACCCATGCATTTGATAAATGAACAAATTGAAATCAATCAAAAACAAAATATTCAATTATTATGCTTTAAAAATAAATTTCAAAGTTTGACCAAAATACATTGATCTAAAATTTAAAAAGAAAAATGCCATGTATGATCAACACAAGATTTTAAAAGTTTACACAAAGTTTTTAAGTAAAAAAAAATATTGTCCAATATAGAAAACAGATGAGCACTTAAGCTAGCTAAAAATAGAAAGTTAAAAATAAACATGGATAAAGTCCTAAATAAGAGGGAAGACATGCACAGACACCTACCACATACCAAATTTTTTCACATAACAGCAAAGATCAACTCTCTGAACTCATAAATCTCATTTTATAAATCTAGATTAAACAAAAAAAATTAATTAGAAAAATTAATTAAAAGTACGTAAAAGGTGTTCCATTAGTTGATATTTATGAGTGGTTAAATTAAACACAAATTCAGTGTCTAAACATTTTTAAATGTCATAAAATATTTAACTTTTTTTTTTGGTTTCAGCTTCAGTGGTTTTTAAATTTAGTGTGGAATGTTATGTCAAAGAAAAAACAATTTCATCAAATTTTAGATTATTTTTTTTGTTGTCTCAATGTTAACTAGAATTCGGCAATTAATGTAGATCTGTAACCTGAATTCAAACAAGATTGTGTCTTATAACTTTACATTAATTCAAAGCTTTCTCTGTTTTTTTTAGGTACACATAATTATTACCCAGCTGATAAGGGTGAACTTATTGTAAACAATAGGAAATGTAATGTTCAAGTGACCAACCCAAGGAGAATTTGTTTGAATAAAAAAATGAACTGTGATCGACATCATTTAAATCCTAATACAAATAACTGAAAGAAAACACATTACAAATAAAAACCCTGTAATTAATCTTCAAATTTACATACAGAAACTGCAGCTTCATGATAAAGAAACATTTATCTTTCTGCCAGATAAAAATTGGCTTTGTCAAATCTAATGAAAGTAAAGTTGCCAGTTTGTCATTTAAAAATTTATTATAGATCTACAAGTCTAGTAGACACCCATTCAATATTTTCTGTCTGCTTTATAAACATATTTTAATACATTCTTATGAAAATAATTCTATCAAAACAACTTGACATCGTTACACAGAAACTAAAATAGGAATAAATAAAAATGATCTTGTTATATTTAATAAAATATTTTATCAGAATCTTACTTTTAATATTATTTAATACCAGTAACACAATACAAAATTGCATTAGAAAATAAAATAATTTCACAGTTTGTTCTTGGCATTTCTTTGCGGGAATGTAAAATATGGTTTCACAAAAGTCTGGACAATCAAGCCACGTCATACACATACAATTAACATGTGCCAATGAAATAAATCAGACAAAAACCTCATGGGTATAAAATACAACGCAAATAAATTCTCATCAACATTTTATACTGTATAATTAAAACAACTAAAATAGTATGTGCTGATATAGAAATCTCACATATACTTCATTGTATAGGATCATTTACAAGGTTAAAACAATTTATAAACATTTACAAGCTTATTCTCTATATTAGCGCAATATACAAAGTTTAAAGTTTATAAACATACTTTCTGTCATGGTAAAATCAACTAAAAATATATTTTGCAAAAAGAACCAGTAAGGTGTGAATGAGTGAAAATGTTGATGTGTTTCCATCAAATATCTGAGAAAAATGTGTGGTGTGGACAGAGGATGAGTGAAAATGTTGATGTGTTTCCATCAAATATCTTTGAAAAATTCCATAAGGAGAACCTTAAGGAGAACCTGGAGAACAAATGTTCAACTGAGAAGATATTTCTAGAATTTTAACTCACTGTTCTTTTAAGTCCTACACAGGGGGTTATCTAAAGAAGAGCCAAATAAGCAAATAAAATGAATGGATTTTTACGGAAACATTCCAATAGACAAAAATATATAGTAGCCAGTGATGGACTGGTTAATTTGATTTTATTTAAACTATCTAACAACAACATTTTATTAAGTCACTGAAAGTAAGCAAAATGCATGTTTCTTTCATCTAATTGTCAAAATATCCATTCTTGTGTTGAAAATGTTAATTAACATTTCAATAGAAGCTAGCGTAATTAAAAGTTTTTTTTTCTTATTTCTTAATCAACACTAGACTATCAGAATTGTAATCTAGTTTACATCACCAAATTTGTTAGTTACAATTAAATCTAATTACATGAACTACTTAACAATTAATTAATGAATCTAGTTAACAATGCCAACTAGAATTATCACTCTAAAAAAATTCAAAGTTAATAAAGTTAATAACTATAATCAGTTATTTAGCTCATACTCAAGTAATACGTTTGAGGGTGGGACTTCACATACAAGGCTAATCTAAAAAAAATAAAAACACTGAGCATCACAAGCCAATCTTGTAGTATACATATATTTATATATAATTATAAATAGGTTTATTTTATCATAGTTAAAATATATACAGATATACCCTTATGTGTAGGAGTTTACCCCACATGAGATTCACATATCTGTAGTGTATCTTATAAAACATATTTTTTTGTCATTATCTGCTGAACTAAAACAGACATCACAGTAGGTGTTATGGTAGGTGGGGAACAGGCTGTTCAGCTAGCACTGCTGTTTGACAGCAGCCAGTGTCAAGTGGGATGAAAAGCTGTCTGTCATCTGACGAAGGTCAGGCGACAGCTGCTGTGTCGTGTCACTGGTGTTCACTGCCCAACTGATGGGTTGGTTTGTCACAGACAGGAGAAAAAAAATAAACACGGAACTCTTCACATTCTCTGAAGGGAAGGTCACAGGTTAAAGTTCAACTCTACTGAAAAGGTAAGGTCACAGACTGAAGTTCTACTCTACTAGAAAGGTAAGGTCACAGGTTAAAGTTCAACTCTACTGGAAAGGTAAGGTCACAGGTTAAAGTTCAACTCTACTGGAAAGGGAAGGTCACAGGTTAAAGTTCAACTCTACTGAAAAGGTAAGGTCACAACTGAAGTTGCTCTACTGAAAAGGTAAGGTCACAGATTGAAGCTGAACTCTACTAGAAAGGTAAGGTCACAGGTTGAACATATTCTGTCAAGGAAAACTGTGAGACATCTATGTCAAAGACGTACAATTTGTTGAGTGAGCTGATTTTAGCTGAAGCTTTTAGAACAGGGCAGATTGTATGTCAGGACAGCGTGACATACAACATACAGATTAGATAATATTCAGATAAAGACAGCATTATTTCTTCTAATACAGATGGCATATTGTCAGTGACATATGTCATAAAATGACAAATGCAGCTAAGGAATTTTATTGACAGAGCTAATGTACATGTCTTACAATTTTATCTACTCAAAACCCAGACCAGGTCCTAAAAACTGCAAGGTCAACAAGACCTGGGATCTGTCTAGTTCTGTTACCATAGCAACACAGGTTTTGTCAAATACATCTTCTTCTGGGGGGGGGGGGGGGGGAGAGTTCAGACATAAAGACGGCAGCCAAAGAGACAAACAACCTTCAATGAATGGGAAAACAATGCTTTGATAAAGACAAAAAATACTTCAGACATTCAGCTGTCTTGTGTTATCATTTCATTAAAAAAAAAAAAAACTAAAAGTAAAATGTATATAAAAACGTTTTTCTTCATTAAAAAGATATTTTCACATTTTGTTTATATTGCAAAAAAAAAATGTTATTAAAACTGATGTAAATGAATTAAAAGTGCTTTTAAAGAAAGAAATGATGATGTATAGTACATTACCTTCTGAAGAATGCTATACAAACTGACCAAAGAAGGCAGTTAATGCTATGAACACATTGCAAAAGGAAAGACATTATATAGCAGGATAGGAAGGCTGCATTCATACAAGATGTAAGAGATCATCACACCAGCGAGATGTATGGAGGTCATCACTCACACAAGAGGTCATCACACAAGTACAAGATGTAAGAGATCATCAATCACACAAGATGTAAAGAGGTCATCACTCACACAAGAGGTCATCACACAAGTACAAGATGTAAGAGATCATCAATCACACAAGATGTAAAGAGGTCATCACTCACACAAGATGTAAAAGAGGTCACCATTCACACAAGGTCATCAATCAATCACACAACATGCGTACAGATCATCATACACAGAAATTCATTCAAACTGCTAAGAAAATCCAAAGAAATTTTTTTTTGGTAAATTGTAAAAATGATCCTTCCGTTTACATCAAATTAACTTCAATGCAACTTTAAAATCTCCAATTTACAAAAATTGTTTAAACATTTCAATTAAAAATTACACAGCCTACACATTTTTTTTAAAACTTCATGGACAGCTCAACCAAAATATTTTTTTAAAAATGTTACTAAATGTTACTAAAACCAGCCATGACATTATAGAAAGTTGTTTGATCAAAGAAAACCATGAGCACAGATTTGACTGCAACACACAGTCAAGATTGCAACACGCAGTCAAGATTGCAACACGCAGTCAAGATTGCAACACGCAGTCAAGATTGCAACACACAGTCAAGATTGCAACACACAGTCAAGATTGCAACACGCAGTCAAGATTGCAACACACAGTCAAGATTGCAACACACAGTCAAGATTGCAACACGCAGTCAAGATTGCAACAGGCAGTCAAGATTGCAACACACAGTCAAGATTGCAACACCCAGTCAAGATTGAGACAGGTTCAAACCCAACTAGCAACTGTGGCAGAGGGAGCGACTGATACGCACATCAAATAAAAATGAGCATTCAACTCATTCACTGAGAAAATACATCGTTTTTCATTTCAATAAAAATGAGCATATTATTAATTAATTAATTAATAGGAGAAAAGTCTAATACCAATGAGCAAAAATGAATTAAACAGAAAAAACACAATAGCATATAAAGAATTAATTAACATATTTATAAAAACGAATACATTTTATAAAACTTTTTATCTTGGCAACTTGAGGTTCACTTAAAAGGATAAAACATAAAAATATGAACCAATGAACTCAATATGACCCAATGAAGTAAATATGAACCAATGAACTCAATAGGACCCAATGAAGTAAATATGAACCAATGAACTCAATAGAACCCAATGAAGTAAATATGAACTAATGGTGATATGGGCTCATGCAGTAAATATGAACCAGTTGTAACTAAACCATAGAGTCCAATTTGTTTCAGTGGTTTTTATGATCCTAATTTTACATTGGTCAACATCTGGCTGGCAAAGTTGACGGGTTAGTACACATACGGGGGGGGGGGGGAGGGAATCACAGTTTATAAGAAGAGGAGGGGGAGGAAGGGCTACATCATGCTACAGGGCTATAGTATTTTACATCAACACAAAAATTAAGTAAATGACCATATACTTTCCCCACAGTATTAAGTCTTAAGTTTTTAAACAAGTACAACAGAATGTGTTAACACATGATTAGATCTAGATGGAAAAGATTTAAGTAGATCTAGTTTAGTTGGGGAAGATAGCGTGTACATGAACTAGCTTCAAGTCACTAACCGAGCCAAGAGAACATAACTCTAAATATTCTTGTCTGTTAGTGGTGAGCTGCCCCTGCTGATTGTGTCAACTTTTCCTACAAACATCTCCCAAAACCTTCACAACTTATTTCAGCTCAACTTGTTTAAAATACATTTTTAAAAAAACATTTTATTGATATAAATAAAATTAGGGGCAGATATTTTCCAAGAACCACAACCAGGCAATTCAGTAATACTGCATGACAGAATACCCCAGAGGGAAGAAAACAGGTTACCACTTGGTACTAAAATACTTAGAAACATGTTGGTTCAAATCCCACCAACACTCAATACTTTTAAAGTTTTTTTTTAATTGGACCACATTGTAGACACTAAAACAGCTGAGCTGATGAACTTTGAACTTGCATAAAAAAAGTGACTTGACTCGTCGTAAACTGATGCTTGTATGAATAGTCTGTAAGTCCAGTACACCCAAGCGCCATCTAGGGAAGTCCCAGCGTCCACCGGCTTCCTGTTACTGACCAAACACTGACCAGTGGACAAGACACACATTTCTGTTTGACTCAGGCTCCACTGGCTGACCCACCTGCCCGCCCCCAGCTCACCAGCGGACTCAACCAATGAGCTTGGGACAAAGACAGGCTAGGGGAGGCAACTAACAGGGGGGGGGGAGGAGGTCACTCTGTGGCTGTAGCCGTGGCTGCTGTGGTTGTGGCTGGGGTTGTGGCTGGGGGGGTGTGGTTCTCTTCTTTACTCACAACTAACTTCTTCATCTGTCTAATAACAGCTGCGGCATTGTAAGCTTGCTGGGTAAGGGAAAGAAAATTTTCAGTGTCAATATTTCTTGTTACAAACTTCGTTTTCCAAATTTAAAAACAAAAATTATTTTTAAATATTCTTTAATGAATTTATCTAAATTTGAGTAAATTTTATATATTTTTAAAAAATCTCTACTTCATTTAAAGTTATGACCACGTATCAGTTTAACTGCGTTCAGAATGTATTGCAGATACAGGCTAAATTAAATTGTAGGTCATCAGCATGGCAGGGTCATTAGATAATTAACTTATCCAATCAACTAACAACAGCCCTGTCAACTTGATCTATCAACCCCATCAACATGACCTACCAACCCCATCAACATGACCTACCAACATCAACATGACCTACCAACAGCAACATGACCTATCAACATGACCTACCAACATCAACATGACCTACCAACATCAACATGACCTACCAACATCAACATGACCTACCAACATCAACATGACCTACCAACATTAACATGACCTACCAACATCAACATGACCTACCAACATCAACATGACCTACCAACATCAACATGACCTACCAACCCCATCAACATGACCTACCAACATCAACATGACCTACCAACCCCATCAACATGACCTACCAACATCAACATGACCTACCAACATCAACATGACCTACCAACATCAACATGACCTACGCCTACACCACTCACCTTCCATTTAGTCCTAACAAAAGTCTTCAGCATCTGTGCCTTGACAGAGGCGTGAATATCTTTACTCAGAGCAGCATTGCCAGAGATCCTATAGTAGAGAATGTCACAGATTAGTTGCCAGTTTACAGTAGAGAATGTCACAGATTAGTTGTCAGTTTACAGTACAGAATGTCACAGATTAGTTTACAGTAGAGAATGTCACATTAACTTACATTTGCAACTATTTTTCTTCATAAAAACAAATCCTATTAACAAAAATTGATAAAATAATTAATTTTTCTCTGCACAATACACAACACAACTAAATCTAGAGCCAGATGAAAATGTACTCAGTATATTAAGGATTTAATGCACCATGTATACCATAGAGGTAGGCAATAAAATCACACTATGTATACCATAGAGGTAGGCAATAAAACCACACTATGTATACCATAGAGGTAGGCAATAAAATCACACTATGTATACCATAAAGGTAGGCAATAAAATCACAAACACTGACCAAGGGTGTGCAATGGCTTGCTTGCATGTGTATCTTTCTTTAGGATCTTTACACATGAGGTGACGGATAAAGTCTTTGGCTGTCAACAAAAAAAGGGGAGAACATTTTTTATAAGGCAGAATATTGTGTAAGGACTTCAGTGGGGACTGTAAGAATATAGCATATATAGTGTTAATTACAGAGTTTGGTGGATGTTCTAGGTTGGTAGTTGAAGGTGGTTGGTGGATGTTGTAGGTTGGTAGTTGAAGGTGGTTAGTGGATGTTGTAGGTTGGTAGTTGAAGGTGGTTGTTGGTGGATGTTGTAGGTTGGTAGTTGAAGGTGGTTGTTGGTGGATGTTGTAGGTTGGTAGTTGAAAGTTGTTGTTGGTGGATGTTGTAGGTTGATAGTTGAAGGTGGTTGTTGGTGGATGTTGTAGGTTGGTAGTTGAAAGTTGTTGTTGGTGGATGTTGTAGGTTGATAGTTGAAAGTTGTTGTTGGTGGATGTTGTAGGTTGGTAGTTGAAGGTGGTTGTTGGTGGATGTTGTAGGTTGATAGTTGAAGGTGGTTAGTGGATGTTGTAGGTTGATAGTTGAAGGTGGTTGTTGGTGGATGTTGTAGGTTGATAGTTGAAAGTTGTTGTTGGTGGATGTTGTAGGTTGGTAGTTGAAGGTGGTTAGTGGATGTTGTAGGTTGATAGTTGAAGGTGGTTGTTGGTGGATGTTGTAGGTTGATAGTTGAAAGTTGTTGTTGGTGGATGTTGTAGGTTGGTAGTTGAAGGTGGTTGTTGGTGGATGTTGTAGGTTGATAGTTGAAGGTGGTTAGTGGATGTTGTAGGTTGATAGTTGAAGGTGGTTAGTGGATGTTGTAGGTTGGTAGTTGAAGGTGGTTGTTGGTGGATGTTGTAGGTTGATAGTTGAAAGTTGTTGTTGGTGGATGTTGTAGGTTGGTAGTTGAAGGTGGTTGTTGGTGGATGTTGTAGGTTGATAGTTGAAGGTGGTTGTTGGTGGATGTTGTAGGTTGGTAGTTGAAGGTGGTTGTTGGTGGATGTTGTAGGTTGATAGTTGAAGGTGGTTGTTGGTGGATGTTCTAGGTTGGTAGTTGAAGGTGGTTGTTGGTGGATGTTGTAGGTTGATAGTTGAAAGTTGTTGTTGGTGGATGTTGTAGGTTGGTAGTTGAAAGTTGTTGTTGTTGGTGGATGGTGTAGGTTGGTAGTTGAAGGTGGTTGAATGTTGTATGTTATAGCTTGGTTGTAGTAGTTTGCTGAATGTAAAATGTAGATGTAGTAGTTTGCTGATTGTTGGATGTTGTGGAATAGGTAAATAATTTAGAGAATAAAACAGATCCTTCAGTTTGAATTATTTTTTTAAATTTCTTTTCACCTGAATCAAACATTTTTTTTTCACCAGAATCAGAAATATTTTTTTTCACCTGAATCAGAAATTTCATCCCAGAAAGGTGAATCAAATTCGTACTGAGCTTTCAAAATTTGCTTGAATAACTCTGCATCATTTTCGTCATAAAAAGGGGGATAACCACATAATCTGCAGGGAAAAAAATACAATCAGTGTTGGCAACAAACAGATGGTGAATATCAAAACAATTTTAATGTACATTCACAGGTGAGTGGTCAAAGGATTTATGAAATGACTAAATCTAGCATATGATAATGCTGACTTTTTGGTTACTAAATCAAATCATGTGACTTCAAACTCAGTTTTGTTACAATACAACTCCAGACTGACAACAAGCTATGACTCCACTGTTTACTTACAATATATAAGCTATGACTCCAGTGTTTACTTACAATATATAAGCTATGACTCCACTGTTTACTTACAATATATAAGCTATGACTCCACTGTTTACTTACAATATATAAGCTATGACTCCACTGTTTACTTACAATATATAAGCTATGACTCCACTGTTTACTTACAATATATAAGCTATGACTCCAATGTTTACTTACAATATATAAGCTATGACTCCACTGTTTACTTACAATATATAAGCTATGACTCCACTGTTTACTTACAATATATAAGCTATGACTCCACTGTTTACTTACAATATATAAGCTATGACTCCAGTGTTTACTTACAATATATAAGCTATGACTCCAATGTTTACTTACAATATATAAGCTATGACTCCAATGTTTACTTACAATATATAAGCTATGACTCCACTGTTTACTTACAATATATAAGCTATGACTCCACTGTTTACTTACAATATATAAGCTATGACTCCAATGTTTACTTACAATATATAAGCTATGACTCCACTGTTTACTTACAATATATAAGCTATGACTCCACTGTTTACTTACAATATATTATATAAGCTATGACTCCACTGTTTACTTACAATATATAAGTTATGACTCCAGTGTTTACTTACAATATATAAGCTATGACTCCACTGTTTACTTACAATATATAAGCTATGACTCCACTGTTTACTTACAATATATAAGCTATGACTCCAATGTTTACTTACAATATATAAGCTATGACTCCACTGTTTACTTACAATATATAAGCTATGACTCCACTGTTTACTTACAATATATTATATAAGCTATGACTCCACTGTTTACTTACAATATATAAGTTATGACTCCAGTGTTTACTTACAATATATAAGCTATGACTCCACTGTTTACTTACAATATATAAGCTATGACTCCACTGTTTACTTACAATATATAAGCTATGACTCCAATGGACCAACAATCCACTTCTTTACCATAGGGTTGCTGGGCTAAGACTTCAGGAGCTGTGGGGCAAAATGTAAGAAGTTTAAAAATTGGGCTGATGGTTGCTGACAGTTGTAGCAGCTAGAAAACATGGCTAACTGTTGAAAACGTGTATGTAGCCGTTTAAAAATAAAATCTAGGGTCTAAATAAAGCAGATCTTTGAGTAAAAACTAGGACTATTCTTTTAGTACATTTGTAGCAGTAAGAGCAGCCCCCTCACCCTTACCCAAAACCCCTAGTATCCCACTCTTTAACACCTCCCCCAACAGACCCCCCCCCCCCCTCTTCCTATCACACCTACCCCAACACCCTCACTCTTAAACACGCACTTTCCTAACACGCACTTTCCTAACACGCACTTTCCTAACACGCACACTTCCGTCCACTCCATCCGCGTCACTTTACAAACACACACCCACACATACACTCACTCTCTCACACACACAATTCAGCGGAGTTGTGTGGTGCACCTGGAGCTACCAATCAGACACCCCCTGCCCCCCCCCCCCCCCCCCACCAGACCTGGATAAATTGGGCTCCAGCAGTCAGACGACAATCAACAACAAACAAAAAAAAACAAAGCTCGCGCGTGGGTGGCCTTGACCTCCACAAATGGGTAAAGCGCGTGCTAATTGGTTCAAAGCAGGGCAGATGGCGGCTCTACAGGTACAAACACGTGACTCACGCAACTACCCACCTGGGTCGCTTGTTTACATCTGTCCCCCTTACTTTATCAATGCGCCCCGGTTTTTATTTAGTCTGTCCGGCAAACTACAACCGGCATTTGCATTCTGCCGGCCAGCGACTGAAGGAAGAAACAATGAAAGCCGTACATTATGCAAATACCCCCACACCCTCCCCCTTACCGTACCGATGGTTATATAATGCGACAGAGTTGAGAATAAATTGTACATTATTCCTGCGCTAGACCGCGTCAGCGCCTGCGTCACAGCCAGGGAAAAGAACGTGGGCGACCACCCATTTGTGTACAGAGGATAGTGGGCCAGATCAATCTGTTACTTTTACGCCGAACGACAAGATCTGATGGCTAGATAACAACGTGTGGCTAGTGAAGAAATCAAAAGGGCTGGGGTTGATGAACTCTACTGCGACGGTCACCAACCTTCGTAGGCACCACACAGTTATCGTTGCTTAACTAACCTTCACACAATCATACTCCCTCACCAACTCCCTCACCGTCTCACACACCCCACTTACCTATACAAACCTTATCACCACATCCACCCAAAAACACACAAACTCAGCCCACCCACAAACACATTCAACTACCTCACACACATCAGATAAACCCACGTACATAATATATATATATATATATATATATATATATATATATATATATATATATATCTATATATATATATATATAGATATATATAGAGGGAATTCCTGCGTACAGTCTAAGCCACAGCGATAAGTTTTCACGGTGTTTGCACTACCGTATAATCTTACAATGTCCTAACTGGGGCCCAGGTATTATACCAACGGCACAGTATCAGGATCAGGCTTAAGTTGTACGCCACGATAGTAAACTTAGAGGGGGGACAGTAGCACATTGGGCTACCACCCCCCCCCCCTGTATTTTGGCGCCTTTTCGTCTGGCGGCAGACCCACAGCTATATCAGCACCTCTCATTAAACAAACACCAATTAATCTAATCAAGCCCTCAAGTAAACACACTAATTAACGTCAATTAATTATCTCCAATCTGTGAGCCCCCACTGTAGGAAATGATCTAGTAGATGCATTAGCAAGAGAACAAAACACCAGACTTCCCACAGCTTGTGACGACAGCCACGGCCAGCAGATGATCAGAGACGTGTTGCAGATGTCATCAATACCAACGTAAAAAGGTTACATGTCACATAAATGTCAAATGCATCCTAATGACATCCAAGAACGACACGACCAGGGTGTTCACATTTCCAGAAACAAGTCTACAAGGGGAGCAACCTTGTGTTGCAACTTGGGCAAGATACATCACTCGTGGCGTGAGGTTAAAGTTCACAGCATGCTCAAGATATTGACCACTCGGCTTACACTCCTGTTATGTGAACCAAAGGTCAGCATGCTAATATGGTCATGTGACCGCTTCATAAGGTCAACAAGCTCATATGATACGTTGACCGTTACATAACGCTAACATACAGCTACGGTTAGACTACAGTTAAGGCTAGACTACGGCTATGGTTAGACTACAGCTATTGGCTAGACTACAGCTATGGTTAGACTACAGCTATGGTTAGACTTCAGCTATGGCTAGACCAGCTATGGCTAAACTATAGCTATGGCTAGACTACAGCTATGGCTAGACTACAACTATGGTTAGACTACAGCTATGGCTAGACTACAGCTATGGTTAGACTACAGCTATGGTTAGACTACAGCTATGGTTAGACTACAGCTATGGCTAGACTACAGCTATGGTTAGACTACAGCTATGGTTAGACTACAGCTATGGCTAGACTACAGCTATGGTTAGACTACAGCTATGGTTAGACTACAGCTATGGTTAGACTACAGCTATGGTTAGACTACAGCTATGGCTAGACTACAGCTATGGTTAGACTACAGCTATGGTTAGACTACAGCCACACGAGGCTAGGGGTCGGCCATAAGCTATTAGCATGGCTTAATACAAAGGACGTTGACCTTGGAAAAGCCGAAAAAAATTGTCGAAACCTGTAAGGTGATCTGTGGCGCAAATCATGGAGAAAAATCATTTTCTGGCATCGACTTCACAGCACATACGGCTGGCAGTAAACACAACAAGAGACATCTACATATCCCATCTATTACCTTCAAGATCTACATGACAATCATGATTGTGGAGCGTACGTATTAGCAAACAAAACAATCATGATTGACTGTAACATCTAATTTAACCGATGTGGCGCATACACATATATTTTTAAAATGGCGCATACACATGTATATATTTTTTAAAACAACCATGTTGGTGGAGAATACATATAACAAAATAAAACAACCATGATTGTATAGATCATTTAGTTCCCCAATGATTTTCCTACTTGCGAGTTTAATTTTACAAGTCTTAGAAGATTCGGACAGTCGCGTGGCCGGATTGATGTCCATCTTGATGTGGCCCTACAGACAGAGCTGTCCGGCGTGACAGACAGACAGGCAATCGATGGACGCGCGACAGAGGTGAATGGCGTTAAGCTGTTCCATCATTCTAACCAACTAATATATAAAGGCTATTCCATCATTCTAACCGACTAATATTAACAGGCTATTCCATCGTTCTAACCAACCAATATCAACAGGCTGTTCCGTCATTCTAACCGACAAATATTAAGAGGATATTCCATCATTCTAACCAACAAATATCAACAGGCTATTCCATCATTCTAAACAACAAATATCAACACTCAAATACCTTTGTAATCTTAAAGAACTCACCGACATAGCCCGACCACCCCCCCTCCCGTGTAAGCACTCACCCATATAGCCCGAGGTACCATAGACCTTGGCCTTGATGACAGACTTCCCCCCCCCCCCCCGACCCCCGCGTATAAGCTTAACTCACTCACCCACATAGCCCGGGGTACCACAGGCCGTGGCCTTGATGCCCGACCCCCCTCCCCACGTGTAAACTTAAATCACTCACCCACATAGCCCGGGGTCCCACAGGCCGTGGCCATGATGCCCGACCCCTCCATCTTGGAGAGACCGAAGTCACTGATCATGATCTTCGAGTCGTCGTCGGGACTGTAGAAGAGAAGATTTTCCGGCTGTCGATGAAAACAAAACAATGGTTAAGAAAAACGTGCGAGATTTAATGGATTTAAAAACACAATTACAAACCCCATTTTCTGTGCACATTTTAAAAACAAAAATAAAGGATGATAAAAAACGATCGAGAAAATGGATTTGAATTAAAAACTGGAACTATGGCCACCGTTTTCTTTAAGGAAATTTAAAAACAAAACAAAACCCAATTTAAAACCAAGTATTTTTTATCTTCCTTTAGGCTATTGTCTTTGGTTGTTAATCCACTCGATAGAGGTGTGGACATTGGCTAGATGAGCCTAGATATTGCCTAGATCAGCCTAGACATTGACTAGATCAGCCTAGACATAGACTAGATCAGCCTAAATATTAACGTATTAACCCATTAGGCTAACAACTATACACATAAAAAGATTTGCTGTATTAAATGTGATGTCTTGTACACTTACGTAGGCCACAAATGTTTTATTGGAACAGCACACACACCCCCCCCCCCTCCCTACACCTACACCGTTTCAAAAACCATCTTAAAGACGTGAGAATCTGAAATGGGCGTGTTCATAGTTGTTGCGCAAGAAGAGAACATGACGTGGCAAGGAAGTGTCGTGACGTAAGTACATAAACAACAACAACAACACACGCCACGTGACTGTATGACGCAATCGTGAGGTTCTATGACACTATCGGTTAGACAGCTCAGACATAAAGCCTTGGTTAGCAATGAAATGTTGATCGTTAAGGCGTGACACCAATCACCTAAGCAACGCTATTCGCATGCTGTAGAATCCCTATACATTTTTGTTTCTATTTCGCCCGGAGGGTGGGGGGGGTGGGGGAGGGTGTCGAAGTACTCTGACGCCCCCCCCCCCCCCCACCTGGAAAGATGCCTGAAAGAAACACTGAAAACACCATGCACGTAACACCAACAAAAGTGAACCTTATCACCACTAATAATGTAAACCCTGACACGACCAACAAAGTGAACCCTGTCCCACCCAACAAAACGAACCCTGACACGACCAACAAAGTGAACCCTGTCCCACCCAACAAAACGAACCATGACACGACCAACAAAGTGAACCCTGTCCCACCCAACAAAACGAACCCTGACACGACCAACTAAACGAACCCTGTCCCACCTAACAAAACGAACCCTGACACGACCAACAAAGTGAACCCTGTCCCACCTAACAAAACGAACCCTGACACGACCAACTAAACGAACCCGTCTCGAGCAACAAACTAAACCCTGCCAGAAGACCTCCATCAGCTGATGTCTAGAACTCATGTCTAGAACTCATGTCTAGAACTCGTGTCTAGAACCCGTGTCTAGAACTCATGTCTAGAACTCGTGTCTAGAACTCGTGTCTAGAACTCATGTCTAGAACTCATGTCTAGAACTCATGTCTAGAACATGTCTAGAACTCGTGTCTAGAACTCATGTCTAGAACTCGTGTCTAGAACTCGTGTCTAGAACTCATGTCTAGAACTCATGTCTAGAACTCATGTCTAGAACTCATGTCTAGAACTCATGTCTAGAACTCATGTCTAGAACATGTCTAGAACTCATGTCTAGAACTCATGTATAGAACTCATGTCTAGAACTCATGTCTAGAACTCATGTCTAGAACTCGTGTCTAGAACTCATGTATAGAACTCATGTCTAGAACTCATGTCTAGAACTCATGTCTAGAACTCGTGTCTAGAACTCGTGTCTAGAACTCGTGTCTAGAACTCGTGTCTAGAACTCATGTCTAGAACTCATGTGTAGAACACATGTGTAGAACTCGTGTCTAGAACTCGTGTCTAGAACTCGTGTCTAGAACTCATGTCTAGAACTCATGTGTAGAACACATGTGTAGAACTCATGTCTAGAACTCGTGTCTAGAACTCGTGTCTAGAACTCATGTCTAGAACTCATGTGTAGAACTCATGTCTAGAACTCGTGTCTAGAACTCGTGTCTAGAACTCATGTCTAGAACCCGTGTCTAGAACTCGTGTCTAGAACTCATGTCTAGAACTCATGTCTAGAACTCATGTCTAGAACTCATGTCTAGAACTCATGTCTAGAACTCGTGTCTAGAACTCATGTCTAGAACTCATGTCTAGAACTCATGTCTAGAACTCATGTCTAGAACTCATGTCTAGAACTCATGTCTAGAACTCATGTCTAGAACTCATGTCTAGAACTCATGTCTAGAACCCATGTCTAGAACTCATGTCTAGAACTCGTGTCTAGAACTCATGTCTAGAACCCATGTCTAGAACTCGTGTCTAGAACTCGTGTCTAGAACTCGTGTCTAGAACTCGTGTCTAGAACTCATGTCTAGAACTCATGTCTAGAACTCATGTCTAGAACTCGTGTCTAGAACTCATGTCTAGAACTCATGTCTAGAACTCATGTCTAGAACTCATGTCTAGAACTCATGTCTAGAACTCATGTCTAGAACTCATGTCTAGAACCCATGTCTAGAACTCATGTCTAGAACATGTCTAGAACTCATGTCTAGAACTCATGTCTAGAACCCATGTCTAGAACTCATGTCTAGAACCCATGTCTAGAACTCATGTCTAGAACTCGTGTCTAGAACTCATGTCTAGAACCCATGTCTAGAACTCATGTCTAGAACCCATGTCTAGAACTCATGTCTAGAACTCGTGTCTAGAACTCATGTCTAGAACCCATGTCTAGAACTCGTGTCTAGAACTCGTGTCTAGAACTCGTGTCTAGAACTCGTGTCTAGAACTCATGTCTAGAACCCATGTCTAGAACTCGTGTCTAGAACTCGTGTCTAGAACTCATGTCTAGAACTCATGTCTAGAACTCATGTCTAGAACCCATGTCTAGAACTCGTGTCTAGAACTCGTGTCTAGAACTCATGTCTAGAACTCATGTGTAGAACACATGTGTAGAACTCATGTCTAGAACTCATGTCTAGAACTCATGTCTAGAACTCATGTCTAGAACTCATGTGTAGAACACATGTGTAGAACTCATGTCTAGAACTCATGTCTAGAACTCATGTCTAGAACTCATGTCTAGAACTCATGTGTAGAACACATGTGTAGAACTCATGTCTAGAACCCATGTCTAGAACTCATGTCTAGAACTCGTGTCTAGAACTCGTGTCTAGAACTCGTGTCTAGAACTCGTGTCTAGAACTCGTGTCTAGAACTCATGTCTAGAACTCGTGTCTAGAACTCATGTCTAGAACATGTCTAGAACTCATGTCTAGAACTCGTGTCTAGAACTCGTGTCTAGAACCCATGTCTAGAACTCATGTCTAGAACTCATGTCTAGAACTCGTGTCTAGAACTCATGTCTAGAACTCATGTCTAGAACATGTCTAGAACTCATGTCTAGAACTCGTGTCTAGAACTCGTGTCTAGAACTCATGTCTAGAACATGTCTAGAACTCATGTCTAGAACTCATGTCTAGAACTCGTGTCTAGAACTCGTGTCTAGAACTCGTGTCTAGAACTCATGTCTAGAACTCATGTCTAGAACATGTCTAGAACTCATGTCTAGAACTCGTGTCTAGAACTCGTGTCTAGAACCCATGTCTAGAACTCATGTCTAGAACTCATGTCTAGAACTCGTGTCTAGAACTCATGTCTAGAACTCATGTCTAGAACATGTCTAGAACTCATGTCTAGAACTCATGTCTAGAACTCGTGTCTAGAACTCATGTCTAGAACTCATGTGTAGAACTCATGTCTAGAACTCATGTGTAGAACTCATGTCTAGAACTCATGTCTAGAACTCATGTCTAGAACTCGTGTCTACAACTCATGTCTAGAACTCATGTCTAGAACTCATGTGTAGAACTCATGTCTAGAACTCATGTGTAGAACTCATGTCTAGAACTCATGTCTAGAACTCATGTCTAGAACTCGTGTCTAGAACTCGTGTCTACAACTCATGTCTAGAACTCATGTCTAGAACTCATGTCTAGAACTCATGTCTAGAACTCATGTCTAGAACTCGTGTCTAGAACTCGTGTCTAGAACTCATGTCTAGAACTCGTGTCTAGAACTCATGTCTACAACTCATGTCTAGAACTCATGTCTAGAACTCATGTCTAGAACTCGTGTCTAGAACTCATGTCTAGAACTCGTGTCTAGAACTCGTGTCTAGAACTCGTGTCTAGAACTCGTGTCTAGAACTCGTGTCTAGAACTCGTGTCTAGAACTCGTGTCTAGAACTCGTGTCTAGAACTCGTGTCTAGAACTCGTGTCTAGAACTCATGTCTAGAACCCATGTCTAGAACCCATGTCTAGAACCCATTTCTAGAACTCATTTCTAGAACTCATGTCTAAAAATCATGTCTAGAACTCATGTCTAGAACTCATGTTTAAAAATAATGTCTAGAACTCGTGTCTAGAACTCATGTCTAAAAATAATGTCTAGAACTCGTGTCTAGAACTCATGTCTAGAACTCATGTCTAAAAATAATGTCTAGAACTCATGTCTAGAACTCATGTCTAAAAATAATGTCTAGAACTCGTGTCTAGAAATGTCTAGAACTCATGTCTAGAACCCATGTCTAAAACTCATGTCTAGAACTCACTCATGTCTAGAACTCGTGTCTAGAACCCATGTCTAGAACTCATGTCTAGAACTCATGTCTAGAACTCATGTCTAGAACCCATGTCTAGAACCCATGTCTAGAACCCATTTCTAGAACTCATTTCTAGAACTCATGTCTAAAAATCATGTCTAGAACTCATGTCTAGAACCCATGTCTAGAACCCATGTCTAGAACCCATTTCTAGAACTCATGTCTAGAACTCATGTCTAAAAATCATGTCTAGAACTCATGTCTAGAACTCATGTCTAAAAATCATGTCTAGAACTCATGTCTAGAACTCATGTCTAAAAATCATGTCTAGAACTCACTCATGTCTAGAACTCATGTCTAGAACTCATGTCTAGAACCCATGTCTAGAACCCATGTCTAGAACCCATGTCTAGAACCCGTCTAGAACCCATGTCTAGAAC